GAACGTCCATGCCAAAAAAATATATATTTTTTTACTTTTTTTTCAAAAACTCAGAGTTGAGCATTAAGATCTGCAGTCTGAACGTAGCCTCTGAGCTGCCGTCCTCTGGTTCCAGCTGAGTTTGTGTTTGTTGTTTCTCGCAGGCCCCACAAACCCCTCCGACTCCACAGCTGACATCAGAGTGAGCCGACAAAACTTTGAGGACGCCTTCAGGACGGTTCGACCGTCCGTGTCAAAAGTGGTGAGGAACGCACCTCTGTGTGTTCACTTACACCACTCAGATCATTTAGGATTTTGGAAGCATTTTATGTACTTGCCACATTTTTCACAACTAAATTTGGGGAAAAACGGTCTTATTATTATTTCAGTTATTCATTCATAACTGCATTTTATCTTGATTGATATTAATGTGGCCAGGAGGAAATGAACTYGTCAACAGTCACTTCTGTCATGAATCTGGTCTCAGATTACTGCTGCAGAGCTGGTCAGACTCGTCTCACATTAAACACTGCAGCTTCCACACACTGCCRTCATACAACCAGAGGACAGTAAATAGTAGAGAAGGTACCGGGGGAGGGCTGATGTGCTAAAGCTTCTCTCCCTTTCTGTTTTTGGTTTTGAGCTCTTCTAATGTGGTTTCATTGGGACCAGGAGTGTTTTATGAGAATGAAAACAGTTCTATGAAGGCTGGATGTAACATTTGAGCCTTTATGTGATTTCTGTATGTAAAGTTGAAGGGGTTGTATGGAGTACCTAAGGGTTTTACTTATTTTTGAGATCAGGAACGTTTCTCAGTTTTAGGGAAAATCTGCTCAAAATGTAGCCAAATAATTTATTTTCTACTGAAAAGTTACAATATTAATAACTAATATCTAAGTTACTGTAGATGGCTTTCTAAACTCTATCAGTCTGTGGGTCCTGAGCCCAACATTGGGAAGCACAGATTTTAAACCATTACTTTGCCTTTAGTTTTGCTATACATAGTTACACCAGCAGAAAGATTATGATACTCCTTCTGGAAGTGCTACAGCTAGYTGCTGGTGCTGCTGTTTGGAGTTAAATAACCTCAGACAAACCTGACAGCAGTGTGTTTACATGAACAGCTATGATGAACCTCTTAAAGGTTGGAGTTGCTTTAAGACAACAGTGATCTATTTTTGTTTGTTTCAATTTTAATCCCAATGAGGTCATTTAAAAAGCCACCAAAAACAATAAAATAACATTTGTAACCTTAGAATAACTGGATTATTTCTTTAGGTGTTTCTAATGTTTGTTTGGTGTGATTCTGTGGACATGGAGCTGACTCTTGTTTTTTGTACAGGACCAGCTGATGTACGAGCTGCTCAGAGAGTCCCTCAGCAGATGAGCAAACCAAAACACCAAGAACATTTTGTTAATGGATCTCACTGTGGAGGAATCAGAAAACATTCTTTTTTTTTAAATAAATTAAAATATGACTTCACATTTTTGACACTTCTTTACTCTGTGGTGTTCAGAGACCTTTCAGCCGTACTCCTGATTATCCCTGGAGCTTTATTTATTTACTTTTTCAGATTATCTGTCTCATGTCCATCTGTCAGGACATACTGACAGTTTTAACAAATATGTAAAAATATAAATAAATTTTTACTAAAGTTACCTACTGCAGCTTCAAAGTCACCTGTAAYGTATGCAGACACAAAGCAAAACAGATTTTAGTAAAATCCTTTTCAGACTAAAACTATGTATTCTAGATTCATCATCTTTACCCACAATTCATCTGTCATGAAACAGGTGTGTGCAATGTGTCAAATACTCAGTAACATTAAAGGGTCAGGCTGTAAATAAACGAAATACTTAGAGCCATGCTTTATCCAGAAAATAATAAAACAAATATAAACAGAATCCGCTGCAGAAGCTATAAAAAAAAAAGAAAAACATGATAAAATATCTGAGCTAAATGCATAAAATATGAACTAAAGAGGCTGAAGAAAAGACCTAATATCAAAACCATGTAGACCTTTTAGAGGAAATTTTTCTGTAAAAAATGTATGGGAGCTGTTTGTTGCACAGATTGACATAAGGTATGTGCATTAAAGAAAGATGTGATAAATCAGACTGAAAATCCAGTTTAATTCCTTACATCAGTTTTATTGCCTTTTTGTTAGTCTCAGTTTACAATACTGCATGAAATCAGTGGACAAGCAGATTATTAACAGGTTCCAAAACAAAACAAACAAAAAAAAAAACAACCACCTGGAACTACAGCAATGAGTAACTTTTCCCACAAACTAAACTTTGGTGAGCAGAAAATGTTCTTTGGCTGCTGGGTGATGTAGATAAAAATGATGAATGTTAAAAAATCAAGCATGTCAAACTTAGTTTAATATTCTAGTTAATTCAGTTCAGAKAGCAGAGTCTAACAAACGTGTGTGAAGAACAGAAAATCAAACATTGTCRTGTCCAAAAAGCAGGAAAGTCCATGACAGTGTTGGTACATCCTTTGACGTATAATTTTTTCTAAAATATTTTAACAGGAATGCATGTTTAAAATGATCAGGAGTGTTTTCTCTACAGAAGATGAAAACAAACCTGACTCAGGGTGTAGGCAGCTACAGCTTCCTCTGGCTCTTAGCAACATTTCCTTTTTCTTAATCAAAAAGCCATTTGTCACCAACACATTTGGTGAAAAGTGATAAATTAGAAAACACTAAAATGATTTACAAATCAACTTTAAGGCCTATGTTTAAAAAACTAAACTTYCTATATAGACACCAGACTGTGCTGCCATTTTATCAGACATGAAATCTTTTTATATTTATATTTGTTAAGGCCAGGGGGCTCTGCAACTTTTACAATCAAAACTCATTCCTGCTCCTCCTGTCACTAAAAACTTGTTCAGAGCCACAAAAACACTTACAGCTTAAAGAAAGCACGACTCATGAAGTGRAAATGTAAAAGAAACTATTGAATTTTGTTGACTTTTGTTGTATGTTAGGACAAAAAGACCAAACTCTTACATCTAAACACTAAACCATGAGTGTTGAATGATTAATAAATATAGCACTTTCATCCTAATAAATACTTTAACGCAATTCTTTTAGTTTCTTCTAATAAAAAGGCAGAAACTGTACATTTTTATTCTTTACTGACTCAGTGTATTTTTGCATTTTGCTGACTCGGTAAGCTACGGTGTGAAAAACGGCACATCTTCTCGTCAGCAGCTTGGCTCGAGCGTCTTAGATGTTTACGGTTTCGTTGGGTTTTAGAGAAAGATCAGAACGTGGGGCTGAAACTGAGCTGACAGCTTTACTTCTTGCTTTATTAGGATTTTATCACAGAAATTGGACTCAAGTTTTCGTAACATTTGGACAGAAAGTTCAGTTGTGCGGCAGAGTGCAAACTGGCTGAACAAACACGAAGCCACAGAGGCATTTCACTAAATGTCTGCGAGTCTATAGAAACTAGATTTTTGTGAAAATGTTTCAAGTGTGAACATTAAGGCACATTTAGGCCTTAAAACGATTAATCACACTCCTCTTTACTCCTCCATTTAGAAATGTTTTTATAGTTTYAGTTTTAAAGTGAGAGGTGTGTGAAGTCATCAGAAACGAGAGCTGAAAAGAAGTCAAACTTTAAAATATTTTTCATACCATTTTACTTTTGGATCAGCTAGTTGCCAAATAATGYGGCAATGTACAAAAAACTGGAGCAAAGCATTGTGGGATTAGGTGTTCAGCTGAACGACATTTCTGATGCTTTAGCCACACAACCCCACTTCTAAAGTRAAACTTATTAAGCTGAACGTTGGATATAATCTGTTTTTGTTGCTGCTCCAAACATAAAGCACAAACACTTTTATTCTCAGTCCATCATTAAGTCKGGTTCTTTGTTTGGACTAATTTAATTCCTCCTAAAATTTCCTCTTTTCTAAGCTGAAAGCAGGAACCTTTGCCTAGACTCGTCCAAACAACGTTCACCCTGAACACTCAACGTATTAAAATCTGTTTTTAGAAAGGTGAGCAGGGCAGCTGTAGTTACTGGAGGTGCTCCGAGGTGTTACTCCTGTTTGACGTCTCCCTTTAACTTCCTTTTGATCCGRGAGTACGGGCTCAACGTGTCGTCCATGATGAAGTCGTACAGGACCCTCACCCAGGACGTGTACTGAGGCAGGYCGTCGTAATACTCGGCTGCTATTTTCTTCACCTGCCAAGCAGAAAGTTTCACCATTAGACCGTTTTGACTTCAAGGCTGTAAATGTTTTAACGCTGAAACCACAACACGTCTACTTTTAGTTTTGTTTCGTAATTAGCAGGAGAGAGAGATGATTCTGAGTCTGGGCAGTGAACCTTACACCACCCAGTTCAACACGTTCAGTGAAACAAACTGCAAGGAAAAACACTGCACACCCAGAAAAATACTTTTTGTGATGTAAAAAAATCAAACTAGAATTTTTTAACTTTAATACGACAACTAAAAAAAAAAAAAAAACAATAGATGCATTAGGCTTGTTGGATAAGTGTGCACACCCTTAAATTTGTTGAAGCACTGTTCAATGTTCCTGTGAGCACACCTACTATTCACTAAATTGAAATAAAGTTCAGCTGTCCTGGCTGAATTTTACTGACATTTATCAGCTTCCTCCAACAAAAGCCACAGTTCTTAAGAGAAATCATAAAGCAACAAAAGCTGTCTGACAAAAAGAAGGGTACAAAAATGACCCAAGCATCAAAACCTCACAGGACACAGTGAAGACTCGTCAAAATGTGGAGAAAATATGGAACAGTTGTGTCTGCAACATGCATATCCTTTTTTTAAAGAAAAAAAAGTCACTGATGAAGAAACTAATATTAAGTTCTGTTTTCGACTGAAGTGGCAAAAAAATGAATATCCTTCAAATACAAAAAGTCAAATAAAAACATCTTTATATTTAAGAAACTTGGCATGATCCACACATTTTAACCCATTTTGTCACATAACTTGGCTCAGCCAAAATGAAACAGGAAGTGACATCAAAGGGGAACTCTTCATCTCTTTGATAGTGATACTCTGAAGAAACATCAAATTCCTCTCTGCAGTCTGCTGTTAGCTGTAGCAACGCTTTGTTCACATGCAGACACTCCCCTCTGACATTACTTCCTGTGAGAACGTCATCTCAGCATGAATGTTATTTTGCAACGTGCYCTCTTTCCACAGGTAGTTTAACGAGAACTAAGTCTGTGTTAACCTGAGAAGCCCTGCAGAAAATGAGTCAGCTAATATTACTGTTAACAGACTCTTCCTATGTAAACTAAAGGCTGTAATTACACACTTCAACAAACTGAATGTGTTTTTGATCCCAGCAGAAAATGACTTGATTTGAGCACAGATATATATACGACGGTCTGATGGTGGTGTCAAGGTCTAGAAAGTAGTTTGCACAAAACATTTTGCAACGTTTCAGATTGGAGCTGTTTTGAGCAGCAATTCACTTAAATCTTATCTTATCTACAATAGATTAGATAATAATTCTTTATAGCCTTTCCACATAACTCCACGTCAAAATGGCCAGAATATCCCTGTAGGTGCTACTGATGCAGAAATGATTAGAAAATAACTATTTACAGATGGCTTAAAATAAATCTATCTTCTATGACTCTAGGCTAAAGTAAAAAAAATATATATGTGGGTGGATTCAGTGGAAACATTTCTTGTACAGTCATGTCTGCACAACTCCATTTAGAAGTCTGGAAACACTACTAGTTGTGCGATGCCTTCCTTTATTCATTTTTACTTTTACCGGATTTGTTGTCTTGGTGAAAGCCAGCCCTTATATTTACCCAGATCAACCTGAGAAGTCTGAAACTTGGGCAATGATTAATAAAAGTACGTACCATGGGCAGCCTTCGGCCTGGAATGCTGGGGAAGTCGTGGTGTTCGTTGTGGTAGCCCACGTTGAACGTCAGCAGGTTGAGGCAGCCGTAGTAGGAGTAGGTTTCGTGGCCCTTCAGGAACATATARTGCTCGGCGATAAAGTGGCCAGAGATGGGGTGCAGGCCCATTCCCAGCACGGAGCCAGCCAGCATGTAAACTACAGATTTTGCCCCACACAGCCAGTAGAGCAGGACGTTAAAGGCGACTTGTATGGCCACATTGGTCAATTCCAGCTGACTAATGGGTTTGGGGTTGATGCACAGTGGGCGGATAGCATAGAACAGGGGCTGCAGAATAATCCAGATGAACTTGCGGGCGCGTGTGCAAAAGAACCAGCCTTCGAACTCAGTCGGGATGTCTACGTCGATACCGTCCCCTCCCAGGTAGCGGTGGTGGTCGAGGTGGTAACGCTTGAAGGAGGCAGAGTAAGGTAAGCCCACGGGCAGGTTGGCAAACATGGCAAAGTAGCGGTTCCACGTGGCTTTGCTGTTCCCAAAGGCAGTGTTGTGGGAAATCTCGTGAATGGCAAGAGTCATTGAGTGGTTGATACAGCTGCCAAATGCATACGCCCAGAACAAAACCCATTTCCAGTCCAAGTCTTTGACTAGGTAGAAAGCTAAAAACTGTATCAACACCATCATGCACACGATCCATTTCAGCCTCAGGTCCGGACCCATTAAAGACTTGATTTCAGGATATTTGGCTGGAAGACAAAGACAACAGACACGGTTAGATTCAGTCTAAATTCTTACACTATCAGGTAAATTAATCATCCCATTAGCTAAATTAATTATGCATGGATAAAATAAATACAACTAATTACTACTTTTGTGTTGTTCTAGAAGAACATTTCTTGAAAGACTCTGATAGCTGCTAATGCTTTGATTTCTAACACCCCAAGTTTTTTTCTACAATGCAATTAATAATTTAGTTTTGTAATAATCTAAGCTGATGTACTGAACAAAGCTGTTAAAGCTCTGTCAGAGTCAGAGTGGTAACCACACACCTTTATTAAGAGGGCCGTCTCAGTCCCTGAAAGAAAGCGCGCAGTACGCTGCAGCCGAACTGTCAAAATGGGATTGTTGTTCTTTTCACATTGTCAACATTTCGACACCTTCTTGTCGCAACCCGCTASCTGAACTTTTTACCCCCCCTCCACATAAGAACTTATTGTGTGATTGGTCAGAAGTTYGTAGGAATCTTTATTTATGCTGAAAGCGCTTGGACGCCGCATTTTGCTTCAACCAGTCACTTAAAAAAAAAACACTTGCTTCCAGAAGCCAACTGTTGTAGGCTACCAGAAAGCAGACATTTATAAAGAGAGTCAAACAGCCAAAAACTAATGGATGGAGGTAAAACAAGCATTGTGCACAGAGAAGTCTGTCAGATAAAAAATGTAGAGCTTTAACTGTGACAGACGGGGAAAAATAACGTCGGGTGATGGGTCTCACATTGATTTTTTCCCCCCTGAATTGTTGACTCCAGTGGGAAGAAACCCTGTGCAGTGAGGTATGCTGCAGCAGGAGGGKTTTCCCAGGAGCTCCACACGGTGTGTCGGCTTTGAAAGGTGTGTGTGAAAAAGAACGCTGAACAACCACGTGACCGCGCGTCGTCCGGTCGGCTGCCAATCAACCGTACTGAAGCCTTTAAAGAGACAGGCAGACAGGAACACAGAGCAGAAGTGAGTCTCAGACAAAGCTGTGTTTATTTAGCGCCTTTTGGTATTGTTTTATTTTGACATTATGTCGTCACCTGTCTACAGCCTGCAGGTGGAAATCATCCAGTTGCTAAATTTGGCGTATTGCAACTGAGAATTATGCCTGATACAATGGAAGTTAAGTTTTTAAATGTAACATTTTGCACTTTGAGAGGATTTGATWAAAAAAAAAAACCTGTAACCCCTGTAACAATAAAAGGCACACTGGTTGAAAGATGGCATAACTGTGGAAATATTAGCTGACATACACAAACTTGTTAGAGTCTACACAGCTCAAAGGTTAAAATGATTGATTTCCTTACGGAATTGAACGGTCTGTGGTGATATCTGCACAAGTGATCAGATTTAAACTGCAATTAAGTTAATACCATAAAGTTCAAAACACCAGTTCAATCGTGTAAAGTCCAACTTTATTTAACCCAATTAAACTATAAATGACTTCCCTACAGGGAAGTTTGTCTGAGCTGCACAGTTCCACACAAGGCACATTTCTCACTCAGTTAAACAAAATACCATTGTTCTGTACGTGGACATATTTTGCATTTTCTAAGAATGTGGTTCACACTGAACCATGGTAAAGAATCAAAATACAGTTTATTCTTGGCTGAGCCTCATGTACTGGTGTTATTTTCTTTCTCTCTTTCTTTTTAGAGACAAAATGTTTTACATATTTCTAATTCCAGCCTCTTTTCGTGTAAGTCTGTAATTTAATACCTCTGTGAAGTTAGTTAGTTAGTTAGTTAGTTAGTTAGTTAGTTAGTTAGTTAGTTAGTTAGTTAGTTAGTTCAACAACGTTAAACCTGGGTCTGTTCATGCTTGTCTGACAAACCTGGGAAAGAAAAATGTTATTTTAGGGAGTGGCGCACCTACGCGAATCTGAAGGCGCACCAAGAATAATAATAAAAATAGCTCTTTTACATAGAATTAGTTCATCAAAACTGATCATATTTATACACGTACATTGAACATTTGGTGACAGTTTAACCACGATGTTACAAAAGGGCGTAAAAACATTTCGCCATCATTAACCGAGGCTAACCCTCCGGCGGAAGTGGGACCGTTAGCTTTAATAAGCAGCTAAAAAAGGAAGACGATTTTTGTAGCTAAATGACTGCGAGTTAAAGCAATAAACGCCGCCATTATAAAGTGAAAGTAAAGTTTGAAATCAGCCATGTGAAGAAGTTAGCTTCTTTTTTTTTTTATCTGCGTTGAGGTAGTTGGATCTTGCTAACCGAGCGGAGAAGCTAACTGAACTCACCCAGGATCTCTTTTCTCCTGTCGGCATGCGGCTGGTCCGTGTACACCCATTCGTAGTCCTCGCGACTTACCCGGCTCCCCATCGCGTTTGGATATTTGTAACTTGAACTAATAAAAAAAAACAACCTATAAGCAGCGAGGAAGGATTCTAGTCTGGTGAAAGACAGCGTCACTTCTTATACACTGCCCCGATGAAAGAAACAAGCCTGTGGCTCCTCCTCCTCCTCCTCTCTGCTGTCTGACGTCTCGAGGCCTGGAAAAGTAACGTCTCGTGCAGAAAACTGTAACATCACAAGGAAAGATAAAAATGTTGATAAAAATGTGGAGCATAAAGAAACGGGGGCATGCGCCTGTTCAACACTTGCAGACTCAGTCATGCTTGAGTAAATGTATTTTATCATAAAATTAGTTAAGCCTCCTCTTAGAACAGGGGTGCCCAAACATTTTCACTGAGAGGGCCAAAATAAAATAAAAAAGATTTTCCCTAAGAGGGCCAAAATTAAAATCGATCTGAGGGTCGCGGGCCAAATGCAATAGAAAAAGACAGTGTTTCCCAAAGTTGGGGTCGGGACCCAAAGTGGGGTCCCGAAACATTAAGGTGGGGTCCTGAAAAGAKTTTCGGAATTAATTACATTTTTGCCTTAGTTGTTACAAAGGAGTGAGGTCAGTGTATTTAAAACGGATCAGTGTAGTATAAAAATATTGTTACTATGCCCATGTGTAGTTGACCTGATACAAATGGGTATCATACAAAAATAGCTGGGGGCCACAGGTCTGCTACTAATTTGTGGGTCAAAAGCTGAAAAGTTTGGGAACCATTGCACTTTGGTTCCCAAAGTTGGGCTTGGGACCCAATTATGGGTCATGAAGCACCTTGGATAATCTCCAGAAATCAATTTAAAGGGTAGTAAAATAATCGCTAATGTAACATTTTCCCTATAACTATTACAAAAACACAAAATAAGNGGTCCAGCTCGGTTTAGTTCTGAAGAAAGTTTGATCTGTAGGTGCTCTTTTTATTTCAACCTCAGCAAAGTTAACTAAAGTTCTTTTTTTTTTTCCAAAAGATATCATCGACCCTGCCATCCTGAGGCCAGGCCGTCTGGATAAAACTTTGTACGTGGGGCTGCCGTGTCCAGCAGATCGTCTCGCCATCCTGCGCGCTGTGACAAAAGTCAGTAATTACCCAGAAACCAGAGTCACCAGAGAAGATTAACAGTTTTCCGAACAGTAGTTAGAAATGCCTGAAAGACGTTTAACTCATTTGTTTCTTAATGGCAGGATTTCTCCTGTAAATTTTGAAACTAATAATTTAATATCAGGCGTTAAAAGCACTGAAGCACATTATGTTTCCAACATATTTTCTTGATTATCCGCTCCTTCTGCAGATTAAACAAAACATACAAATAACACATCAATACATGCAGCTCAATAGAAACAGTGTTATGATTTTTTCCTAACAGTAAATAATACAATAGACAACATTCACAGGGCAGGATGAGAGAACGTGACAGTTAGCTTAATTTGACAAGCTAACATTTCTGATCGTTCTAAACAAATTATGTTTTGTAAAAAGTAAAGTTTCATGACACACACAATGATTCATGACATATTTCATTTAAAATGATCAAGTCAGCTCAGTCTGGGACTGACTTGTGTTGTCTCCCTGGATCATTCAGGACACAAAGCTCTTTACCRCAGCCTCGGCTGGTCTATGTCCGACCCAGACCACACCAGCCCCAGACAGCGGAGCTGGAGTGGCCCGACAGCCTGACAGAAAGAAAAAAAAATAACCTGCGCTGCAGCCGCTCACAAGATCACTAGTTTAGAGCAGGAATAAAAAAGTTTGGGTCTTGTTTGATTGAGGTTCGGATCCGGTTCAATAGGAGTGGCTTGTTAAATTTTCGCAAAACGAACTGATCGCGGACATTCAGCTGTCAGTCACTGCCTCGCTGCGCTGTCTTTTTTCCTGCTCCCGCTGTGTGCGGTGTTCTAAACACACGTTCTTGTTTTCCTGCTTCTGCTGGACGTACAGCAGGCTGGGCTTCATCTGTCCGCCTTTCATTCATTCCTGAACACTGTGGCAATGATCTACACTCACCTGCCACTTTATTAGGTACACCACGCTAGTAATGGGTTGGACCCCTTTTGCCTTCAGAACTGCCTCAATTCTTCGTGGCATAGATTCAACAAGATGCTGGAAGCATTCCTCAGAGATTTTGGTCCATATTGACATGATGGCATCACAAAGTTGCCGCAGATTTGTCGGCTGCACATCCATGATGTGAATCTCCCGTTCCACCACATCCCAAAGATG